GTTGTGCCTTGTTTTGGTATGTAAGGTAACTAGGGTGGCATAAGGCAGTTACGGCAAGATGCCCCTCGCAGGAACACCTCCCTTCCCTTATATATGCAATATGGAGGAAAACTTAAGTGACAACAATGGACATCGGGATGTCTGAGGAGTCATGGTGCCACTGCTGCACATCCCTTAGCATCCAAACCACTTTGACATCAAATCCGACTTACTACCAAGTCTTCCGCACCTTGGCTTTGCATGAGGTGCCATTGGCAAGCCACTCAAATGTCTTAGCCATACCAACATGTTAAAGGTGGTAATGGTAGTCCAAATGGAAAAAAGAGCTTTGAGAGATTGGTAGACGGTAGACCATTAGTAGATTAAATCACTCCCCACCAGTTATTTATCTTCTTTTCCTTTATTTCCTTTTAATGAATTTTTTTGGGGCATTTGTTGAAAATATAAATGGCTCTCAAAATTACACTACTTATCCACCTTATATGCATACACGTAACTTTGTGGTTTATACCTGTGAGAATCATTTTTAAGTTGGGCAGTTTCACATGAGTTTACTTACAGTCACTAGCATTTAGTGTATTTTTATGTCTGCTTTTTAAATTTATGTATTTATACAGTAATGTGAAGTTTTGTTTTCACAGACGGTACAGACACAGCAGAGGGCAGAGAGAGATGCTGCTGTTGCACGACTAGAGCAAAGCCGGGTGGTTCTTGCGATGAGATTGGCTGAGCACCAAGGTAAGAAGTACAAAGTGATCGATGAAGCGCTAGCTTTTGTGGGAGATGTACGTGATGCTGCTCGCATTGGTTCACCTGAGAACCTTTATGCTTCAGCTCCATGTCAATCTGGTGAGAACTTTGGGACACAAGAAGGGACAAGGTCTAGTGTTCTCGTTAAATTTCTCATGTCTAGTATTAATTTTGCCAAGAAATCCCTTAAATTGGATCACATGGGTGGGATATTGGGGAATGCTGCTTTCTTTGCGGTCAGTATGATTGCATTGCTGCAACTGCATCAAGTATCTTGTAAGGACAAATTCATTTCAGACCTCCCACAGAGGCAAGAAGATGTTATCTACAACAGAAATGCGAGACGGCTCAAGGGATCTTCCAATGGTCTTTCAACCCACTTGGATGTCTTGTCAGCCAGAGGGTAGGATTATTTGATCCAGTTTTCATGTTTGAGCTGCTTTAACCTTTGTTGAATGATTGAATAGCTTGGTGTGTGATGGTTAGGGAAAGCATGTAGTCTTGCAATTCGGTAATACGAAATGCTGGACCAATTAGGAAATCATAGTATGAGTGTCAGTTCCAGTTTTTCAAGTTATGTTATATCTGCGAAATTGAGTGTATATAATCCAGATGTTCAGTTTATCTAGTGGTCAATGGATACAGATATCACTTCTTATTCTATTGCATTGAAATGTCTTTTGGACATCAGTGACGTTTTTCAGGCAATGAACAAGTGACTTGGGTCTAGCGGTGTTAATCGAGACATTCAGGTTTAGTTCAGATAAAATTTAGCTTGAATTTAACTCGTATTTTAAATGAGTTGAATTTGAATAATTTTTTAGGCTTGTAGTTCGACTCAATCTCGCAAAGCTCGGGTCATTTATATGTAAAATAATTGAGTTATTTGGGTTTGAGTTCGAGTTCGGCTTGAGTTTTAAATGAGTTGAATTTGAATAATTTTTTAAACTCGTTTATAAAAACAAGTTTGTAAAGTTCGAGTTTAAACTCGCAAAATTTGGTTCGATTAATACTACTATTTGGGGTCAGTAAATTTTGACTCAGATTAATTAACTTGATACAAAAGTGGAATAAAGTTTTATCTATTCTTCTAATTTTTAATTTTTTTATTTTTTTATTGTACCAAACGAATTATAGAGGAGAGAAAGAAATTTTTTTCTTTTGAATGATAAAAAACGTATGACTCGCAGTTTGCATTTGCCTAACTAACTTAACACACCATGTTAAACTTTTGTCTAACCTGTATCAAGGGGAAGCTGCCAAGTCCCTCAACCTTTGACAAAAAGAACGTTGTGAAGTTTGTTATGATCTTGGGAGAGAGAGGAATTGAACAAACGTTGTGGGTTGCTATTTGCCTTTTGACTTTATTTTAACGTTTGTACATATGAGGGTACAAGTTGGAGTTTGAAAAACATGGTGAGTCTTTTAAATTTGTAGCTGTCCATCACTTTCTCTCGAGTTCCAACCGGATCCATAATTAAAATCGAAGAAGTATTCCCCTTTCAATGAGTGAGAGGACAAGACAAACCATCCTCCTTTTCTTGTCTGCCTTTTAATTTTCCATCTAATCGTTGACTAAACAAGGATCAGCCCTCCAATTTCTAATGATTTGGATGCGAAATTTCAAACAAGTAAAATATTGAGGCGTCAATTTGAAAAGGAAAAAGCTTTTAACCGAAAACCCGGATTTTAATGGCCCTTCTCTGTACAAAAAATCCGAGTGTAAATGAAGAATGAAGAATGAAGATGAAGAGTAATATACTGGGCATGTTTGGAGGTTGATGAAAACTTTAGTTTTTGGAGGATTTAGAAGCAAAAATGTCTAGTTCGTTTGAATTTGGGTTTATTGAGCGATTTTTTCATCAATTTTTTGTATAAAAATAGCTTTTATCAACGTTAAGAAAAAAATGAAAACTGAAAAATGAAACTTATCAGAGAGTTTCGAAGAAAAAATTAATTTTTTTTTAGAAACACTCCAAACGAATTCAAAAGTTTTTTTAATTCTGAATTTTTTTTTTGGGTTCAACAGCGAAGTGTGTCCGATCAATTTACACTCATCTCGACTAGTTATTTTTCCAATCCAGTCAAAGATAGGTTATTCACGCTCAGATTAGAGTATTCATGAGGGATAAATCCCTCGTAGTTTGGCTTCAAAGGATTGTCAAAATTTAAATTCAAGACTTCTGAGTTCACAGTTAATCCCTATTACCACTTAAACTATCCCTTGTGATTAATTCTAATTTTTTCATTTCACCTTTTCAACTTTTGTTTTACACTCAAAAAAATGAGTTCCAAACAGGTTCATTATTAAAACTCAAAAAATTAATTTAATTTAATAATATAATGATGTAACAGTAATATAGTTTAATAGTAATAATTGGACTTTTACATTAACACTAAATCACTTAACATAGAATAAGTTAAAAAATTAAATTAATTTTTTTGAATTGCCAATAACAATACTCGCCCACAAATCACCTTGATCTCGATGAGTTCCACTATGAGTATCAAAACATTCATTCACAAAAAGTTTTTCATTGTTTCAGCATTTCCACCTCCATGGGCCCATTACACCCTTATGTCGGTTGGTGAATTAAAGGAAAATATGTTCACAGTTTGACCCAAACCATGTGGCTCATGAGTCATGATGGCGGCTGTTTACACTTGATCATTACCAAACAAATCGAGTAAATATCAAATATAACAGTAATTTCATATTATTATTATTCTTTATTTAATTAAAAAAAGTATATTTTATAAGAAATAATTGGTTATTGCATTACATAATTTATCCACGTTTTTATAATTGATCATCGATATCTAGTGGTACAAAGTAACAAATGGAGTTAACTATTTTATTCGTGTTAATTAAATTCTTGAACTATGTTTTATGTAAATTTAGAGTATGCAATCTGACTCAATTTGACTATTTTATCTAAATTCTTATTTAACTTTGACAAAAATTCTCAAGTATGTAAGCCCTTAAACTATAACCTAATATCTAATTCATGTGATGTGCACTTAAGAGATTTTGTCAAAATTAATGAATAGTTTTGACGAAAGGGTCATATTGAATCAAATATATAGTTTAGGAGTTAAATTGACAAACAGTGTAGTTAAAATGTCAAATAAGTAGTTAATTCTGGCAAATGACTAGCTTATTGTAGGCATACAAACATTAATGGTTTGTACACTTTTTTTTTTGGGTTATGGGATATTCAGGCATGTATCGGCTATTCTTTTGAACTCTTAGACTGACCATCGTAATTCAAATTAGTTTAATGACATCTCGTGAAAAATAAAAATAAGGGTGAATGACTTTTAAGGGGCGGGAAACGCACTGCACCTGAGAATTCTTACAAAATTATAATCAATCTTGAGGATTAACAGTTCATACAGCTTGAACCTTTGGAAAAACTATAAAATCTGTGAGAAAAGGACGCAAGAGGCTGCGGCTCAGAAATAAGATGACCAAGTGTAAAATGGGGACCAAGCCATTGAGCTACCCCAAAACATCATATTGGTCTCTCTCTCTCTCTCTCTCTCCCTTCCCCATCAGGTGCTGTCGTGTTCATTCAATTGCATTACAACTCACTTTTAATCTGTTTCATTTTCAGTTTCAGACTTATATATGCAAAGTCGGCTCTGATACGATTGTGTTCTTTCCTTTTCACTTGTTTTCTCTCTCTCTTATAACCTGCTACGTCAGCGTCGCCCCTCGTTTAGCCTTTGCTCCACACCAGACCCCCCCCCCCCTCTCTCTCACCGGTGACAACAGTTCCGGCATCTCTCTCGCCCACTCCCCCAGTGTTTTGCTTTCGGCAATTTACTAGGCCAGGAAATGTGTGCCCTTCTGGTCTTTCCTCATAAATATGCCACAGCTTGCACAGTATATATAGTATCTAAAATAATTACTTTTACAGTTGAAATTATATATGTTATTGGAGTTTTTTATTATCTATCATAAAATATTGGGATAGATTATAAATAACTCCAACTAATTCTAACTTTTGTGATCCATTATAATATTTTAGAATAGATTATGCTCTTTGTAAATATAACTTGCACCTCACCTACCTCCATCAATACTCTACTCTTCATCCAGGACACAAAGGAATTTTTTTTTTTAGAGTAAGTGGAATGCTGAGGTAGTTTGTGAATCCTCCTAATAATGAATTTGAATATTTGTTTGGCTTATGTATGAGATCGACTTTAGCTGATTCAAAAAGGTTGTAACAAGTGGTAGAAAATGCCAAATATTTGATTACTTGTCCAAGAAAGCTAGCCAGTGAATCAGTGTCTTAACTGACCGACAATGACATTTTGTTGGGAAATAAAATTGTTTTGGGGAGTTATTAGAGTTCATAAATAGTTTGAAGAACTAGCTAGTGGAGTTGAGGTGAGTGAATAATCTAGCTCTATCAAGTGTAATTGTAATCAACTTGAACGAGAAGTTTTCTTAGTTTGAGGATTCAATTCAATGGTCATCCTTTAATTTCATGAAGTTCTAATACTCTTGCCTCTAGCAAGGTAAAATGAGAGTTATTTTTTAAACGAAGTAGTTTGGAGCTAATAATGTGGATATCATTGATATTCATTTCCATTTACATTTTGTTTTCTATGTCATTACTACATCATTTAGTTATCTTTTTTGGTTTATTATGTTGGATCGAAGTGGTAACCGTTACACTAAAACCTACAAGTGTTAGTAAATACACAATTTCTTTCATTTAAGTAATTCAACAGTAAGTACCCACGAGTCAAGTTAGTTAAACTCTCCACCAAATCTTAAGCAGACTTGTTGTACTTCTACTCAGACCAATAATCTCCCCCAACAATAATCATGAGACTATAACTCATGACTTCGCTCTGATACCAAGTGTTGGACCGAAATACTTACTATTACACCAAAAATCACAATTGCTAGTGAATGTACAACTTTTTTTTAACTAATTTAGCAACAAGATCAAGGGTCAAGTTGGTTAAATTTATCATCGAGTCTATCTAGACCAACACACTAACGTTTCTATATAATATAAAAATTCATTTTTTAGTATGGTAGAATTACTCCTATCCACAAATTTGTAGGTTGTTTTCGAAGCTAGAACAATAATACCTAATCGATACTATGATCTCATATTACGCTAAGTTATAGTTCATTTGAGGGAAGTCTAATTACAATTCATTATTGGGGTGCCTATATTGCCGTACAGTGGGGGGCCACAAAAGGCAGATGTGTTCGAGGAAAGTAGGTAATGAAATCTTGCTGATAACTCTGATCTCCACATGCAAAAGCAACAATCTATGCCATCATTACAACCAACTTGCACATAATGACAGTTTGACCCCACTCGTGAAATTACCGGGGGCTGCATTGTAATATTGCAGTGAGGGAAAGAAGAAAAAA